AGAGAGGAGAGAGAAGAGAGAGAGAGAGAGAGAGAGAAGGAGAGAGGAGAGGAGAGAGGAGAGAGAGAGAGAGAAAAGCGGAGATTCGGGTGTTATAAGTCGAAAACCAGAAGAGACAGGGAGTGGTTTAAAATGGACGTTTTTACGCTACACCCAGTTGACCTGGTCGTTGCTGGGCAGGCGGGAGGTGTGCTGGTTCGGCCCGGACGGTACAAGCTGGTGGACATGCTGCGCGGCCAGGTCGTCTGGAACCTCCTCAACTTCAAAAAGGAGCTGCGAAACCTTGGAGTCGCGCGACCCGACCCGGTACATACACCGCCGCAGCGACACAACACGGCACACAACACCGCTTGATCACCGACCGTGATTGGATCGCACGCTGACGGCATCTCGGTGTACCTGATGAGCCTGTCCGTGCACAACGGCCGCTCCGTCGCTGGCACGCGCCGGGGAGGGCCTGCCGGAATGACGCGCCTTGGGGAAGTACTCAGAGGACAAGCCAGAGCTATGGTATCTTGAATATGTGGTCATATCACGGCCATCGGCCGAGCATTTTGGCGCTAGATACGGTCTTAAAGCGAATAAGTCGGTTATTAGCAATAACTGTGGAATGCGGTCCATACCAAAAGTCATTCACGATGGTCAATTATCAACATCTAGGTGTGCAGCCCTTCATACATGCGGGTTACTGAATTATTATGGCCTTATCGTTGATGTTAAGAGTAAAACCAGGCCAAACCAGAAATTCTGATTTTGACCAACGGTTGGGATTTGTCGTTGCCCACACCGGTGTCTTCAGTCTCAGACGTATGGGCAAATGGCGCAAATGTTCTTTACATTTGCCCCGATGGCGGCGCCTTCCCTCTGTGTCCTACTGCGGTCGGCGGTAGTCATTTCAGGGCGACGAATAGATACGTGGCACGGCGTGGGAAACGGGTTCTAGCGGAAAATTGGTTGCAGACTGGCCAGTTGAACTTCTCTGCAAACACAGACATCATTAACGAGGCACCTGTGAGTGAGCCACGATGGATGGACCTGGTTTGCGACATCTTACGAACGAATGTTGGTACAGCTGTGCGGTAGATAAACAAAAAGTGAGTGCGAAACTTCGCGGTTCAAGACGTCAGGTAGCGCGGTAACGGATGTCCCGTTCCTTAGAAAGTATATCGGCATTCGACATATCTGACGACAGCCTGGCCAGCCTCGCGCTCAGCTTAAGCTAGAGCAAGGTAAAGGGACGCAGACATGCCCGCCTGCAATAGGCCCTCAACAACGGCACAAAGCACCGCTTGCTTGCCTTGATGCACGTTCCATTCGACCAGGCATTGCCACATCTGACTTTCAAATGGCATACATGCCTTATGTGAGTACATCAGACGCATACAAAGTTAATAAAACAAGTTATTTGTCTTCATTCATCGGATGCGCCTGCCATGCCGCAGGCGTCCGTTCGCTGCTGCTCTGAGTTTCACCAGTTTTCATTGCCTTGACTTCTTGTTCGTGTGTTGGTAGATGCACTAAAAATTTCATGCTGGTAGTTCTTGGTTTCGAAACTGTATAGCAAAACATGCAATAGGCACATTGCGCTTGCCGTTTTCCTGTCTGTGTTAGCCATATTAGTATCCAAGTTGTCCATGTTAGTATCCATGTTAGCATGCAGCCGGAGGCTGCAGACTTGACTGAGCACCAAACACGAGGCACTCGCGCGTAGGAACGACGCGCTCGTGATGCACGTGGTGTTTTACTGTCATTTAGCGCTTATCGAGCCGTCGAACGCTCTGCCGCCACCCTGATATGTCCCTTAAGTGCGTGTCCGATCTCTTTTCACTTCAGATGGCCCCCCGAGGCGCCACCGTTCACGGCCAACGCCTTCCACATCGCCTCTCGGAACGCAGTCGGTAATTATTCTGCTTCTCGGCATCAATCCAGCCCCCCGTCACGGTCACGGATCCGTAAAGCGTGGCATGACATTTTTGACACGTCATATGCACGCAGTTCTGGTATACCGCGCTGCGGTTTTTAGCTGCAGTTTTCATTGACTCCGTCGGTTTGTTGCTACAGATGTCACCAGCTCTTTCCTTCCTGCCTTCTTTGACAGCACCGCAAACAACTGACATAACGCACAGAGTATCTCTGGATTGAGAGCAGCTATGTGCGCTACATGACCGCGATCGTGTTTGGTTGATGAAGCCGCGGTGTGGCATCTTTCGTGCCTGAGGAAAATGCCTTTCACCAATTCTGAAATCACTGACCCGAAGTGTGACACTTGGCTGCGGTCGGCGGTGTAAAGACCGCGTTCTTGCCCACATCTCTGTACTGACAACTCACCGAGACACAAATGCAAAGGATGTGCACGTTTCTCTCAAATTGACGCAGCTCGATGATCATCGAGAAAGCTTACCTTAACGTCCCAGCTGTGGGAGCTCCCAGCGACCGCGTGTGGAGCATTTTCGTTAGGAAATTTTCCACAGCGCGAGAAAATTGCCTGCACGACATCAGAGGCAGAGCGCACCAAATCACCGTGGCAGTCATCTGTTGCCGCGTCTTACGCCGTCCTGATCTCATTTGCCAGGCGTGCGTGAAATGAAGCTGTCTTTGCAGGCGTTCCGCTGGCGCTGCTGACGGAGCCGTACTTCTATGACAACGTACCGGAGTACGTGCAGTACGCCGTGCTGGGCGTCACCATGGCCCACGAGCTGCTGCACGGCATCGATAACGCAGGTGAGTAACGGCCGGCGATGGCGCCGTCGGCAGAGGTCGGGTCAGATTGACGGCAGAAGGTCGGCAAGATGCCGGCGCGCAGACTCCATGGCATGGTGTTGATGAAAGCAAGGTTTGCATTCTTGATAATGCAGTAAGATCAGCGTACACTATTGGGAACAACTGACGCTGCTGGTGGTATACTCTCTGTCGATTACAAATCGCTCTGTATCACCAAAAGCTAGCAAAACAAGTCCACGTTCAGAAAAGAATATCTGAACACTGCGTAGTGTCGTGAGGCTCATGCTCTCTTTAAGTACTCTCATTCCCGACAGTTTCGCCGTTCGTTGAAGGCAGCTTTCGGACCAACAGTTTATACAGCCTCTCAGAGTTCCGAAAGCAGTGATATACGGAACTGTTTCAAACGTCCAAATGACTTCGACATTGTTTCCGTCAGCGAGTTTTTCGACTCATCGCCGATTCAAACTGGACATATTCTCCTCTACGAACCCTGCCTGACTTTCCCGTAGACGAGTTCAGTGGCTGGTGAAGCCCCTCGGTAGCGTACTCAGACACACGTGCAACTGATAACTCATAGGCGGCCACGCCCGCCGAAGCACCGACCATAGTAGGCAGTTTCTGAGTTTTGTGTGCCGAAAACGCACCGAGAGAAGAGGATTCTGGCCAAGCTATCGCCGGAATTCGACGTCCGTCCGATAGCGTAAGGTGACGTCGGCGACGCACGCTCTGGTGCCGGCCGCCGGTCGGGGGTTCAGCCGGCGTCACCGGAACATGCCGGCGACGCTAGCGGATCGCCGACGTCAAAGCCTGCCTGCCGCCGGGTTGCTGTTGAGGTACACCGATGACGCCAGAGATCTACAGGAGCGTCGGAAACATTGCATCTCCACGCTAATCTACTTTTTAAATAGCTTGCTGACAAACTACAACAATGACCCTAGCGTGTATCCTAACGACACCTTGTGTTTGCCAACTTGTTTGACCAAGCAATGAGGCAACCTGGTTTATCGGTGTCAGTCACTTTGCGTGGTTGCGTGACCTTGCTAGTGTGATTACATATGTTGTGAACATTCTCCTCCATTGAAGTTATGTTTTTGCTGTAATAGGTAAAGGACATCCATCCATGCATTTTAGCATGCTTTGAGCGTGACTTGAGCGGAAACTGCTTGAAATAGTCATTACATCCCTGTCCCTCTGACTATGACGCGTACACATTATACTTTTAAGCGCAATCACTCAGGGTTAACACGCACTCGGGTGGGGGTCAAATTGACCCCCCCTCCCGAAGGTTTTTCCACCATGGTTTCCGAACGCCGCGGCGTAGCCGCGCCAAAGTTTGCCTAGCTGTAGACAATTGGGTAGCGGATCGTTTGGCATCAAAAATTGAGGTGTTCCTCGTAAGGTCACTGACCTATGGCAAATCAAAGTCAGGCCATGGTTTCAGCGAAGGCAATTTCTAGGCAATCCTTCAATCTGATGCAACAACAGAGTGTTAGACGAAGCCATACATCTCTGTGATGCTTTCTTGGGCAACGCAACAGCTGAATGAGCAAATTACATTGACCCAAGATCAGGTATGAAGGTCACACCAAGATCAAAACCAACCTAATTTGTTACCCTAGGGCTTGCTGTATGGGATAATTTCTGGTGCTCATTTCGAGTTTATTGATAGCAGGAACCGAATTATGCATCTTCCATGGACTTCTCAGAGGTCAGAATAGGCCATTGACCTAAAATGACACGGTTGAACATTTTGTTTTAGGAACATACTGCCTAGCGTAATCTTTGTCGCTTAGTCACATGCAAAACTCAAAGCAATATTGTATGATTTTGGTCACCTTGACCTTCAAAAGGCCAAACAAGGTCACTGACCTTGAATGAGAATGTGACCTTTTGCTTAGAAACGGTTATCTAGGTTCTGGGGGCACTTTGGAGACAACCTGGAACTTGACATTGCTTGATCTTTTTTGACCAGAAGGTCATAGCCTAGGAATCTGAAACTTGGACCTACGTGAGTTAACGTACAGGTCAATACACCCCGTAGATTTGGTGTTTCTAGATTTCTTAGTTCCCGAGATTTCAGGGGGTGCCAAATTGACCCCCACCCGAGTGAAGGGTATCTAGCCCGGGCGCTTGTTAAACAAGGTAATTGTATTACCTTTACAATTACCTGTGCACAATTATGCACAATTACAATTACCTGTACAACAAGCTAATTGTAATTGTGCATGGTCGATACTTAATGATACGCCAGTTAGCAGAGATTATTTTGACTTGCGGAGTTGCGTACAATGTAGGCAGTCAGTGAGCTCAGCTGTGTATCATAACACACGTCTGGATGGTCGGTTAGATACCCTGCGCTCGGCTGGGGATCAGTTTGGTCCCACTGAGATCTCAAGAACTAATAGTGCTAGAGACACAGCAGTCACAGGCTGTGTTAGGCTGTATGTGAACTCACTTAGGTCAAAGCTTGAGGTTTCTAGGTTATGACCTTCGGGTCAAATAAGGTCAAACAAGGTCAAATTTCAAATTGGTCTTCAAAGTGTCCCCAGAACCTAGATGCCTGTTGTAAGCAAAATATCACATGCTCATTTAAGGCCTGTGATGTTGTGGGACCTTTCGAAGGTCATGGTGACCAAAAGCATAGAAGGTTACTCGGAGTTTTGGATATGAATAAGCGACAAAGATTACGCTAGGCAGTATGTTCATAAAAACGAAATCTTGTCCTGAGTCATTCTAGGTCAGTGACCTGAGAAGAAGGTTATGGAAAATTCTAATACGGTGCTTGTTATCAATAAATTCGAAATGAGCACCAGAAACCACCTCATACAGCAAGTTTGAAGCAATAAAAGAGGTTGGTTTGACCTTGGCCTTACCTTCATACCTGACCTAGGTCAATGGATTTGGCCATTCAATTGTTGCATTGCCAAATAAAGTATTTAGGAGATGTATAGCTTTGCCTAACACTCCGTTGTTGCACCAGATTAAGCGATTTCCCAGAAATTGACTTCGCTGAAACCATGATCTGACTTTGACCTGCCGGAGGATACCATACAATCCACTATTCAATTGTCTACAGCTATGCAAAATGTGGCGTTGCCACGCCGTTCCGTTCAGAAACCATTCCGGAAAAACACCCGGGGGTTAATGAGACCCCCAACCGAGCGCGTGATAACGAATAGCCGTAACTCTTAGCGTCACGAAGAGTCTTCGGTCCTTTGCATGCGGCGAAGGCTCCGTGCACCACCATTGTCTTTTAACAACGGCCATGGTCTTGCCAATCTGCCACTCTGAGTGTTTAAAGTGCGTGCCGCTAGATTGCTAGTTAGAAAGCAACCAAATGCAGCTAACAATTCTCGCACGTGTCGTGCCCCGACAATGTCACACAACTGTGGCTTGTTTAAGGCCTTCCACATTCAGCGAATGCTATCAACACACCGATCCTTTGCAGGGTTTCACTTTGACGAGAGCGGCGCCGTTCGTCGTCTAACGGCCAACGAAGAGCGGATGATAGCGGACAAGTTCAGCTGTGTGCGTAACGAATACGTACAGGGCCTCTCCAGGGTGATAGAGGTGAACGACCAACCCGTCCTCCTGCAGGTGAGATCGCGCCGCCGTCAAGCTCTGAGCGAACACATCGTTTGCCAGGCTCTGTGGTGAGCTGGAGGACGGTTGCGGAACATGATAGAGGAGGTGAAATTGAGGGCGAGCCGGCCAGATTACGAGCGAGGTCACAGGGGACGAGTTAGCCACGTTACGAGCGAGGTCACAGGGGACGAGTTAGCCAGGTTACGAGCGAGGTCACAGGGGACGAGTTAGCCAGATTACGAGCGAGGTCACAGGGGGCGAGTTAGCCAGATCACGAGCGAGGCCATAGGGGGAGAATTAGCCAGATTACGAGCAAGGTCACTGGCCGAGCGGGTCCTTCCAACTTGAGCGCCCTAGCCCAGTCCGGCCAGGCCTTTATCTGTGGCATGAACTGATATTGTAACAACTGATGATGACAAAGCTGTAGAATGCTCAGCAACGCGAAGTGAAATTCTGTAAAAGTTGTGTTGCATAAATCGGCTAAACATCTTTGCACAGCCTGTTCAATCAGGCAGGTTTTCCTTACAACCGTAACTGCCATCCCAATTAGCCTGTAACCCGCCCGCGTTTGTCACGTTGCAAGGAGGCTTGATCACACTGATCAAAAGTGAGCCTGGATATAGACGGTCCGGTGTCGCTACAACACCAGATTGGTACATTCCGACGGAGCAAGAAACGGCCAGTCGAGCTGGCAGAGGCATGCGTTGATATGTGCAAACGCTTCATGAAGACGTGAAGCTCATTTTACGGTGTATGAGCGAACTATCAGTTACAGCTCAGGAGCATGCCTCCAAAGTTTTAATCGTGGGTCAGTAATTGACAAGAAATCTGTCAATGTCACCTTTAGGGAAATCAATCTCGAATGCAAGACATTATGGCCTGAAGCGAGAGAGACTGCGACACAAAGGCTACACAAGCGTACTGTCCTGTTCATTGTGACTACGATCCACCCAAAATAGTTGCGCTCTTCGGAATACGTTTTTGCTGACTGTTAAAGCCGTAAATCGCGGCAAGTGTATCATTTCCACCCAATTAAATTCCCAGACTTGGACACGCTCAGTCACGGGAACACTACACAAATTAGCAGCAAGCTGGAAAAACGACAAGCTGACGGACTGCGAGTGGGCATGGATATGGCGGCTACGGCGGAACCATAACCCCCTCGATTTGTGGCATTTAGGTTAGTACCAGGTCATGCTCTGGGGACTCTTGAGGTTGAGCGGCCGTGCCGCAGGCTGCGCTCTTCCGCCAAGTTTAGTCTGGGGAGACTTATGACAGGTGGTCTCTTCTTTTGGCGACGTTGCAGGCTGCCGCAACATGCCGTCTTTGTTGTGGGTGTACACACGTTCTTCTTTTTCGGAACTTTTTCAAGTGAATGTCACTGAGGCTGCGTTCCCTTGGACTATGGCAACAGGCAGACGTTGTCAGAGCCAAACACTCTTCCGTCTATCGCCCATCGGAGAAATCATTCTAGCCCCGAGACTTTCGACAACAGTTACCGTCAATGGGCCGCACGCTCCGCCGGTTTCAAAGGCGACTGGCTGGAACTGAAGCTGCTGGGTGAGGCTCGAGCATTTTCTGTTCTCTCCGCATTCGACTTCTTTAGCTGCGGCGTCACGGTTATCGCGGTGGAGATAAGGCTGGAGGCGGCAAACCTATTGATGCGTGTGACATCCTATACCAGGCTCTTAACTTTGCGCAGTTTTTATCACTTAGCTCGCAAAAGCAATCAGCGTGGACCCCCGTCTGGTAAACTTTCCTGGAAGGCGGACCATTGCGTATATCCATTTGCTTAGCTTTTTGTGCATCGGCCCTGACGTTTGTAATGGCCTTGTCCGTCCTGCGCCGTCGAAAGCTCATTTCTGGGGAGTTTACATCTATCATCAGTTGCTCTGCGAACCTGCCGTGGACAGTGATAAACAATGCTGTTCAAGACAGAGGCTCTTTCATCATCACCAGGAAAAGGACACATACATTTCAGTTGCTGTTCAGTAAACAAAATATGCTTCTTAATTCTTCTCCGACGAAGGCGCCGGTAAATTGCTTCGACGGATAGTTTTTTGCGCCAGATAAGCGCTTAGTCAAACGGAGCTTCTACGCTATCTCAAAAAGTTTAGAACAGTTTTTATCACGGAATACGTTCCTTAAATCGGCAATGCCTTTTTGGGCGCGATTTAATCTTTGTGCTCCGAGGAACTGCCGAACTTCGTGCTTTGGAAAGGCGTGACAAGATGCCAGCACCACCGCTTTGTGTCCGCGTTTAACGATGCGTCATTTTGGCTCCCATTGTAAGCGTGAAATATGGGTCAGTGCAGCTCTGTGTGAGATAGATTTCAGAAAGAGTTACGTGTTGTTGTGGGCCATTCAATAAATGTACTGAAGTTTCAAAGGGCTTTCATCTAGACCGAAATGAAAACGGTCCCATTGAGGTGGGCAGCCGCCTCCTTAAAGTCATGCTATGCGCTGTCCGCTAGTAACCCAAGGCTACGGAAGAGGCATAGTCCCTTTATATTTGATAGTACATCGTGAGCGACAGCGACGGAGTATTCATTAAACATCACGTGTTCACCATTGCTCTAAGATGTACATTTGCTACTTGGCATAGTGTCTAATTTATGAGCACAAAGACACAAGGCTACTGAATAGCAAGGAGGGGGCAATCGATAAACCACTTTTCGTGAAACTTAAATATCAGCACTGATGATCTGTGGAATAATGGATTAGGAAAAAGTCTTGCCCACCTACTATCTGAGAGGTTCCTTTGCACCTCCCTGGAATAGAATGTAGTCCTTCATTGGGTGTAGCCCCCATTGGCCCATCTTTTAATGGAATGATATTTCGTCCTCCAACATTAGAACATCGATGCAGACCATCTGTTCCAACGAGCGCAAAATGGCCTCAAAACTCCGATCATCACCTTTTTTCATCACAACGTGCTGTACCGATGCGGGAGCAGTACTCGACCTGTACCGCACCAAACAACGGGCACATTGTATCACCCAAAGATGAACGAGAATAAAAGCGCCCTCATATCTTCGCAGATGTTGATATGCCCATTCCTTTGTACACCAACCAGGCAGACACTTTTTGCGACCGGGCCCAAACGCACCCCCGTATGACCGAGGCCTGTGTCACGTTCTGTAATGTGCCAGTCATTAGTGACAATGCTGACCGGTGACCCCGAGATGACCTCGTCCTATCGCCAGATGGACGGCGACCTGGGCCTGATGGAGAACGGAGCCGACTTCAGCAGTCTGGCTCTCACATGGGCGGCCTACAGTAGGTGGCGCCAATACCAGGACCACGAAAGCAAGCTGCCCGGCGTCAATCTCACCGACCGGCAGATCTTTCTGCTGTCTCTCGCGCAGGTACGGGAAGTGTGAAACAGCGACCCGGGATTCTTGCCTGGTTAGTAAGCTTCGGGAGAGTAGCGTGAAGTCATTCCAGCTTTCTTGTCTGCAGAAGTGAATGTGTGCGAGCAGCTTGAAGTACGTGGAGTGTGCGGCTTTCCTCTAAAGCGTTCTTGATTAGAGGCGGAGCTACGGCCAATATCCCGCAGCACTGCGTCTCCCAGCTAGGGGTTGCGACCGGGAGAGGCTTCGAAATACAGGTCGCGCGCCGCCTCAGTCTTGGCACTTCCTGTCGCGCGCGTTATGGCCTCGGTCCTTTATTAAAGCAGATACTTGATGTGGCAAGCTTCTTGGTCTTGATTAAGCTCGGCAGCTGCAGCATTGTCTGACATGGTAACAACTCCTTGAGTCTGTGCTCTACAAGCATTCAGAGTAGATGAAAGCAGCTCTTGCCTAACCAAACAGACACGGACTAGTTACACAAATATCTGCGGTCACTGGGATTGCCTGTTGTACCCAGCGATTGCTGCAGGTTTCTTCAGTCCGTCGGGAGCCAAGTGAGTATTATATGGCCGAAACTGGGCCGATCAACCCTGGGAGGCAGTTCGAGTTTGACGTTATATCGTATCCAGGGTGAACGGGACTGGACGTAGCTTTGGGAAGTTGAGCCAAAAATTGGGATGTGCAGACCACGATGGGTAAGCGGTAGCCTCCCTCCCTTAACCAGAAACGCGATATATATATATATATATATATATATATATATATATATATATATATATATTCTGAACCTATGACATGTGGTCGGCTGTCTCCATCAGCTCTACTGCGCCAACATCGAGCCGTGGTCGTACGTCTCTACAGTGGGAGCCGGCACACACCCACCGAACCCGGAGAGGCGAGTATTGGCCAGGACCACTCGCGGCTAACCATACGACTCCCACCCGGGACCGGCACCGGCGGGCGGCTCCCACGTCAACAATGCCCCGGCCATCCACAATATTTTCACTCCCGAACTTAGTCTTCGCCGCTGAATAGACGTGCGGGAGCGGAGGTTATTAAATGTCCACTCAAGTTCCTGAATTCACTACCAAGCCCGGCCCAGCTCCGCACTCTCCAATTACCAGCCAGCGGCTGTCCACAGGCGATTGTACATGCTGTCAGCTGCCAAGTGCAATCTCCCTGAACAGTCATTCAGTTGCCAATGGATCGCGCCTAGTGTGGCAACCGCGCGCTTGCCGTTGGTGTTCGTTCTTTCGCTGCTTTGCCGATTGCGTAATCGTTCCATAAGTCGTCTCGATTGACGAGTGCTTGGCTTGACCATCTCTCCAATACAGAGCTCTGCTTTCTGCTCTCTCGTCTGTCCGTGTTTAGGTGGCAGACATTTTCCCCGAGTTAAGGACACTCCCGTTGACTGTCTCCTCGGTCCTGACGCTGCCCCGTCGCCTCTCTTCGTCAGGGTGAACGGTATGGTGAGGCAGACGCCGGCGTTCGGCGCCGCCTTCGGCTGTCCGGCCGGCAGCCCGATGAACCCCTTCACCCGGTGTGACCCGGTCTGGTGAGGCGGTGACGCCGGTCTCTCCTCCCTTGTCCTCACGCCTGGCTCCCGCCGGGCACGTCTCGCGAGCCGGAGATTTTCTTCGACGCTGTCTCGCGACGGAGCACCCCAGAGCCCACCGCCACACCTCGTGCCGAGGCGCCGCGCGTGCCGGCTGGTCGCGGTTCGTTCGGCCGGCGCCGAAGCCCCTGTCGATGTGGCGCCGGGGGCGGACACCGGTTGCGCTGGCGTGCCGCCCCTCAATGCTGTCCGGCCGGAGTCCGCTGCACGTCCCACGTCGAGGCGTCGGTGTATGGACAGCGTCAGAAGGGACAACGTCTGGCCGGGCAGCGTCGTAAGGGGCAGTGCCGCACCGGACAGAGCGGGCCGGACAGCGCGGGACCGGGCAGCGTCGGACCGGACAGCGCTGGACTGGACAGCGCCGGACCGGACAGCGCTGGACCGGACAGCGTCGGACCAAACAGCGCTGGACCGGACAGCGCTGGGCCGGACGGCGGTTCGCGACCAGCGGGCCGTTCTGATCCCAGCTGCGCGCGTGCACATCAGGCAGGGCTTACCCGACGACAGCTGCCGAATAGTGGCTGCGGGGAAGTAATTACTGGGCATCGGAGCATGATGGTGACCGTACCGCGTTTATCGGGCAGGACATGTATCGCGATGGTTACCGACAACGGCGCACCGAGCACGGGAATTGATCACCAGATGATTGGTGAGCTATGTGGTGCTTTGTATTGTCGCCGAGTATATATTTCATGTTAAATTTGCGACGCGTTTGGTTGGGTCGACGTGGAAAATGTCAGTCAGATTGGCAGCCAAAACTGGCACATTTTATTACGGTTGCTGCTTGTGCCACTTTTCTTTTTATGGTCACGTTTTGTCCACCGAGAGATATAATACAAGCGCATCATTGTGATGTTTACGGCATGCGTGTGAACTTGACTTAGATGGAATTTAGCTTATGCCACAGAGGTGTTTGTACATGACATCACAGATGCGTCAATACCAGTGACGAGATTCCTTGATTCGGACTTCAGACTACCAACTGATTAACAGCTTAGGTAAACAGAAAGATGCAGTGGGACCGAATGAGCAAATGAATTAATTTGACCAGATGTGATCTTAGGTCTTAATCTTATGATACAAAGTGATAGGTAATATTATGTACAAGCAACGCGTATTGCCCCGAAAATCATGCGTGAAGCATAAACATCACGAAGTCATCGCTCGGAACCATTGTCCACAATTCATGTTTAAAATCCTAATGTTCGGATAAAGAACTTCTGAACTGTTGTCTTGACAACTAAGACCACTGCCTGAGCGGTTGCTGTTCTGATATATTTACATCCATGCTAGTATCCCATCAATCCTATCAGGACCTAAGGAAGGCCTAAAGGAAACGGCCAAATCGATTTTTGCAAACTTTTCCTTTCAGTACGGTAGAGTTAACGTTAAATCTTCTCCAAAGTGAGGAAAATGTTACTGCTGCTTCATCCTGTCGGTACACCCATAAACGCTGTCCCTCAAATATCGAAGGGCGCGGTCTCTGCATGTACTGTATGAAAATGATATGCCATTTGAAGGCAGTAATTTGTGCGCTCGTGGCATTGCCGCGGCGATATTCAGAAACATTCGCGGCGCATTCTCAACTTGTGCTGTACACACGTGGACGACATGGCTTGTAGGTGCGCCGGTATCCCAGCCATACTCTGCCGAGGGCTTCATGCGATTCCCAGCGCAACACCAGCGGGCATATCGCAGGCAGCAGCAGTGTCTGCAGCGCTGTACCGCATTCGGAGAGACGGCTGGCGCGGTTAGAGGCGGAATTAGACACACCGAGCGCAGCAAATTGAGCTTGCACTTATAGTCATAATGTATCATATTTCATCACACTTGATTTTCATTGTGTTTTACAACCATGCCATCTGCGCTGTGGAAATATGCTGAACAACTGGACAGCCTGGTCACATCCGCAGCGCCTTCGGCGCGCGTACCGATCAGAGACATGTCATCTGGACAGCCTGGTCACGTCCGCAGCGCCGTCGGCGCGCGTACCGATCAGAGACATGTCATCTGAACAGCCTGGTCACGTCCGCAGCGCCGTTGGCGCGCGTACCGATCAGAGACATGTCAACTGAACGGCCTGGTCATGTCCGCAGCGCCGTTGGCGCGCGTATCGATCAGAGACATGTCAACTGGACAGCCTGGTCACGTCCGCAGCGCCGTCGGCGCGCGTACCGATCAGAGACATGTCAGCTGGACAGCCTGGTCACGTCCGCAGCGTCGTCGGCGCGCGTACCGATCAGAGACATGTCAGCTGGACAGCCTGGTCACGTCCGCAGCGCCGTCGGCGCGCGTACCGATCAGAGACATGTCAACAGCACGAGAGGATCAGGCGAACTCGAAAGGACGACGAGGGGACGTCATCAAGGTCTCTAACAGAGGCGGAGCAAGACCAGCCAAACGCTAGAGCAGTGCCGCTGCTGAGCTATTACCATTTCGATCCGCACGTGCCGGCCGCCGTTATCAGACATGCATTTGCTCTTCGCTGGGACGCCGAGGGAGTGCGCTTGAATCTCATTACGCATCAATGTGGCTATGCTAAGCACGACGTGCTCTTGTAGAGAGCTCTAAAAATATGCTGTTTATTTCTGTGCTTATGCCTTTCCATAAATATTGTTGTGACCCTCTGAGTCATACTGCACTGAGCTGGTTTCCAGCTGCAAATACCTGCCAGTTACCACACTTACCACAAATTTTGATAGCGCGGTAAGTCAAACCGTTTACATTTTTAGCTTATGGAAGACGGTCCGACTCCATCTGTCTTCTCCAAAAACCGTGTTTCAGCTAAAAAGCAATGTTTACCGCAGGTCACAATGCGATGCAGTTTAATGCTGTCATTCTGTACTCGATCTCATGACGACTCTGGACGCTGAAGAAGCACGTTACTCAGGTAGAACAGGCAATTCTGAGCCCTACCCTCCAAAACTACACGCGGGCTTTCGTCATCAGATTTGTCTGCTTCTTAGGCTCCCTGGCTCGGAATTGCCTACAAGGCTAAATGTTACATTGTTTTTCGAGTCACACTTGGAACGCCAAACCCAGACGTCATTTGAGGTCTTTTGATGCATATGCGCGAATAGGAAATGCATAATCAAAAAGTAAACTTACTGGGAGGGACTTCTAATATATCCATACAGTCGTGTCTTTTTGAACCGTAAGCAAGGCACAAGAGAGCGCATGTTCACTAAAGTTGAGGCGAATTCCGCCAAGAACCACATAGATATGCTCGTTGGAACCGATCTCCCATTTAAATTTCAAAGTGTGTCACCTCAAAGCGCTACAAGTGCCAAACAATTCCCGAAGCAAGACGTTCAGATGTGTCACGGCGCGGTGGACTGGACGTAACTAGATAGGGACCTCATGACACTCACGATACAGTGTTAATATGATTCTTCGTGTGCATGGACAAATCCGGAAACTACCACATTTCGCGATGAGTTAATCTAAATGCAATTGATTTTTTTCGTTTTATAGTCTTAAAGTTGCAATCTATCCATAACAGCTTTTCGTTTGATTTCATTATGTTCTCGGAGTCAGCCTCCAGCTTTCAAATAAAACATAACTGAAGAGGATCGTACGATTGTGTGCCGGCGTCCCCACCTGTTGGAGGCTATCAAGTGACGTCACTGTCAGCTGACATGCCCCGATGGTAAGCGAGGACTGGTATGATGTTCGAGAACTCAGCAGCCTAACAGATGTAGTTTTAGTTACCGACTTAAATAAAAAGTTTGCATGATGTTAACGTAATTTCCGTGTCTTAATTTCATCACCCCGAGAAAGTGGAACCAGGCAGATGTATAAAATCACGAACGCATGCACGCCCAGACATACCATACATTTTGCCATTTATTGCTATTTAACACTTGTTATACGCTGTAAAGCACGATACACACATTACGGTGTTTGGCTGACACCTGGTACAGGCATGCACCAGACAGCCCGCTTTGTGTCCGCACATGCCAGTAAAAATACACACGTGCCGCCCACCGACTTCGGCTGTGCCCGAGGCCTTCCCTTGTGAACATTCACCTCTCCCGATCTGCAGACAGCACGGACACCCATTTGGCAACAAGACTCGGGCACGTGATATAACAGGCTATCTCGACATGGTTGTGGGATGTCGATACCCGATAAAACAGCCGGAGACCCGCTAGACGGATGCCGGGCGGCATCATCAACATTATAGCTAGTAGCTGGAGGTCGTCATGGCACGGACAGTTGCATGTCACTCAGCACGATGCAAGCCTGGCATCCTACGCACAATGTTCAACATCAAACCTACATCATGTTCAGATTAAAACAGACTGGCGATTTAGGTTAAGCGCGACATTTGAAACCACAGGCAACGTGGCTACAACTTCGGCCGCCTTTACATCGATCTGCCAAGCGTTACAGCAGCTCATCGAACCCTTACCTGGTAAGCTGCCCGTAGGCGCGCATGATTCCACAGCAGCCGTCACAAGTCAAGTTACCGGGTTAATGTGTCCCGCAAAGAAGCAGCTACAAAAGTGATCGTGTGAGCACTCGGCTTTAATCTCGGCTGCTTCGCACCGCACCACAGATGGCTCTGCTCACATAGGACTGCTTCTCAGACTAACCGCTCACGTCGCCTACACACAACTATGGCGTGATGGCCGGGTGGAAGGCAAATGTTAAGTGCACAGCGCGAAAGATGACTACTGGAATACTGAAACGGTGGTCGATTATACTGTTATTGCTACTATTTTTGCTCGGATCCAAAGCCGATCCGTAAAGCACCAAAACATTCACATATCGACCACAGCTAACAAAGTCGTAAAAACATTTTGCACTCCAATACATCGAGCAGCTCAACACAGACGGGCATACCCCAATTCTGCATGCGCCGGACCAATCAGCGTGCCAGCTACGCCAGGCCAGAGTACGCCGCCCAGCAGGGGGTCTGCTCCGACCCCTCTCGGGCGCCTCCTGGCGGCGCCACCCGGCGCAGAGGGCGCCATCTCCGGCCGTCCTCTACGCGCCGGGGTCCATGACACGCCCCTGGAAGAGCGTCACGCCCACCCGGACGTCCCGGATAGGCGAAGATGAACGGCCGGTCGACGATGAAGGGTCGCGGTCTGGGCCGTATCGTGCGGAAGCCAAACGCGAGTGCTGTGGGAACAGGACGAGGTCAGAGGTTTGCCGGCTGGCGCGGCGCTGGTGTTGCCTCTCGCCCAGGGGTGAGGGGCGTAAGGGGAGTGTGGCTTTTGTGGCGTTGATTTGTGCCAAAATCTGGGTCAAGTGAGCTTTGATACCAGACTCTGTCATATTTTCGTTGAGTTAATGTGAAACAACAGATAATTTTCAACACCGAAAAAGTGTCGGTAGCTTCCTTGAGTTTGGGTTCAGTCAAACGATTCCCCGGAATCACCTAAATTTGTTATCTTTTACTCACTATATGCTGCAAAGTAACACTCGATGTATCATGGTCCTATGGTCAAACTGACACCTTCCATGTAAGCTCTTATGTAAAACAGGTAACATCCCAGAGTGACGTCATTGAAAGTCGGAATTGACGTATATTCAGGAACGCATCCAAATCCCTTGAGCAAGAATCGAAGTCGTCGACTCAAGATTGTACCGCAGTGTCCAGAACCAGAGTCAAAATCACGCCCACACGCTGTGAGTCGAGGTCGGAGTCGATTCGCTGTCACGGAATCGGGCACTCGTCCCTCTGCACCTGGTTGCCTATGATCCAACCAAGCGTCACGGGGGCGGGAGAAAGCTGTGCAGTGAGAATCCCGCTGAGGCGGATACTGGAAAACCAATATCAGAAAATTTTCACAAGTTCAAGCGCTTCAATAGGCACTCGCCGTTATACCATTGCCGCCCGACAAGGAAGGACCCGCTGACAATAATCAGCCTTGTGGTGGGTTTTGAGGCACGAAGGGGGTCACGTGCGGTTAGCAAACGCAGCGTTTGAAACCAGAATACCTCGCACTTGGTGAAACAGCTGAATGGTGGTGTTGTTTCAGGAGATAGCTTCGCTGAGGTTATGTTCTGCCACTTCCATTTCCCACTTCAAACGGAGCAATGACAACAGCAAGCCGCCAGGAATAGCCGCCGCCAGTACAAGTGTAACAGTAAGCCGCCTGCGCCGTTCACCACTGACCTGTAGCGGCTGAGGCTTCGGTTCCCTCCTCGTTGACCTCGACAGCCGCCTTGTGGACAGCGTCGGTGACATACAGCGCCTCCCGGCCGCTCATTCCCCGCATGTTCGCCGCCACCTCGTCAAACAGGTCAGCCATGCCCATCTGGAGGAGGCGGGAGTCAGGCGGGGTCAGAGGTCAGTGCCACCAACAGCGGGCGCCGTAGACATTGGTGACAGCTGAATGCAGCAACAGCGGTCGTGAGATTGGGTGCACAAACAGCGGTGGTGAGGGCTGGGTGCAGCAACAGCGGTCGTGAGGTTGGGTGCACAAACAGCGGTGGTGAGGGCTGGGTGCAGCAAAAGCGGTCGTGATGGTTAGATGCACTAGCAGCGTTGGTGAGGGTTACACGCAGTACAGCGGTGGTAATGGCTGGATGCACAGTGACAGGCGTTGGGAGGACGCTTCGCTGGAAGATCAGCAGGTAACGGCGACCGTCGGAGGAGCTTCTGCAGACCGCACATACACTGCGGAGGAATCTGGCGTCATCGGCCCACGGTTACACAACGCAAATGAGCAGCCCCTGGAGCCGTCACCGTCACGAAACAAGGGCCTTCTCGGGCCGACAGCCTTTAAGGACCCATTTGGGCAGGGCGGTTAGTTGCAGTGCCCGAAAGGGCTCTTTGATGACTCATCTGAGCCGGTCCGCACCTTGTGGTGACGTAAGAGGTGTCCATACATCGCACTGGTTAGACGATAAGTCGCTCAGCTGTTTGGGCTTACGCGCGATTCGAATGAATCGGCCACTTTATACCAGACACTGTCCCACATAGCATCGACTAACCTGTTAGCGTAGACGTGCTTTGCAGACAGCTTACATAAGCTGTGTATTTGATGATGGCCTAATTGCATATACAATCATGCATGTTCAGATACTGCGCTGAACAGCTAACAACATTACACATTACAACCTTTGAACCGGTCGACTTGTCGTCACAGGGCAACACAGACCCAGAGTCCCAGTGCATATCTACGGCCAGGGTGCCGCTCATCACCTGCTGCAGCAACAGCTTGAGGTTGACGCGCTCCTCCAGCTTGAACTTGGGCAGGCGGACGGTGACGTTGTAGTCGGCCTCGGCGCTCCAGCTGAGGTCCTGCAGCGCGCGGTCCGCGAGTCGCCTCTCCAACTCGTAGATGCCGTCCCTCGCGTTCGGCAGCAGGATCATCATCTGCACGTCCTCACCCTGCACAAGAGCGCGCATCACAGCCTGGAGCCATGTACAGCCACAAGGCAGCCGCGATGTGGCGTTGATGCGTCAGATACTGTCAATAAGTCATATAATGGCAATGCGCCATATTTTATCTGTTATTTATTGCGTTATATTTTATCGTATATCTAACAACGGCAAGGAGCGGGCTTGACAGCCACATCCGCAAGCCGATAACGCTTGGCGCTGCGCATAGCACACACGGCGCGTCTGATTTGGTCAATCAGCGTAGCCCCCTCCCACGACGACATGGGCCATCTCCCACAGACCACACTCCACGCTTTATCCACGACAGCCCGCGTGAAGATTCTATGGAACAGTCCTCTACTATCCGCTTGCGCAAGTCGCGTACCTTGTACGGCAGCTGCAGGATCCGGGCATCCAGGTCATACAGGTCGCCGACCGGGAACATCTTCCTGGCGCGCATCGTCGGCACCTTCTTGGTGCCCGTCAGTGCGTGGAAGTCGGCCTCGATGGTACGCTTCTTGTCGAACTTCATCAGCCAGTCGCCCTTGAAGTGGATGGCATTGACCAGCACCAGGCGGGTCAAGTCGTTGATCATCTCTGCGGCCAGGGGAGGTGGCGTCAGGCGCGGTCGGCGACGCGCCTCGCGCCGTACCCGGCAGGGGCCAGCTCGGCGGTCAGCGGGAGGGCGGCTGCACCCGGGCGGTGACCCACACCGGCGACCCACACCGGCCCACCTCCCAGGACGCGTCTGGCGCCGCCCACAGCTCGTCAGGGTCGCTTCGGTGCGATGTGCGCTTTGGATCGCTTCAGCGTCACTAGGGGCTGAATAACGCCGCATCAGTGCATCTCGGGGTGTCAACTGCACCCTTTTACCAAATGACGTGGTGACCAGGGCGGGACTCGGTTTCCTCCCCGCGCCCAGCTCCCGTTCCCTTAGGAGTGATTTTCAGGGGCTGACGAGTCCCCGAACAGCGCTCCACTTACTCGGCTCGACAAGCGAATCGATCTGGCCCTCGGTGTCCTCCTTGACATTCTTGTTGATCGTGGCAGCGGCCTTCTTAGACCGGCTGAAGTTCAGCCGGGTGATCTCGGCCTGGAAGATGCGCTGGATGGTCCTCTGGAACTTGGAGCGCAGCCGCAGGCCGCCGGCAACGTACATCCGGTTGGTGAGTTTGACCGCCACGTCGTCCTGGTACCGCCTCTGCAAGCAGATGGAGCGCGCGCTGCGGTGATGGGAAGCAGTGCATTGGTCGCACAGGGGGAGGGATGCAGAATCTCGGTATTTACAAACAGACGTGGGTTCGCTGCTGATGACAAACAGTGATAGGGCTTGACTGGGTGCATTACTATGTGGGTGGGTGACTGGACAAGCCAATCTAGGAGCCGCACGGTTTACTAGATAGCATTTTACCGCGAACCGAACATCATCTGCGGAGCACGAATCTATTAATAAAATAGCCGCGAGCTGACCGAAAACAGCGCGGAGTTAATAAGGAGACTGCCACCTGCTCGCCCCTCGCTCGATCCATGCATGTGACGTGACGGAAGACAAGCCGATAAGGAACAGGGTCCCCCCCCCCATTTCCACAACATGCAATGTCCTCACAACAAGCGAGTACCTTCATGTAACGCAACAGGCCCCTGTGGCCACGTAGGACTCTTGACCGTTTGCCTCGAAGGTGCAGCACTTGCTCCATCTGTTCGGCCGTTTCGCCCCTGCTGCCAGCGTACGCCATTGCCAGGGCAGTACCGATACTCATCGGCGAAAAGAAGATGTTGGACGTCTTGTCAACGTCCGCCATAACCTGCAAGCAAGAGCACGTCATTGGCTTTCCCTTGGTTGTGGCACATGTTTCGGTGTCGGGCTGTGGACACGACAGATGTATCGGGTGAGAGGACTGATGCTATGAGGGGATTAATGCCATCGGCCACGACGAAGATTCCCCCTGTTTATTTTGTTTCACTTTTTACTTCTAGCGATCTTCTGAAATTGCCTAAAGGTAGAAATAGTGAGCTGGTTTCGCGGAAATCCAGTACAAAGAAGCTTTAGCCAGCCAATACTGTCCGGAGAATTGCAAATGGAAATCATTGCAGGAACACACACTTCGTGTAATCGAATATTTCAACGGCAAACGGTAGATAAAACGATGCACACAGTATAGCTAATGGACGGCAGATCAGTGTTCATCGCCGCAGCAGGGGATCGCTTGACACAGCCGTAACAGGAGCCTTGACCCAGCTGATCGGTGGTGATCAGCAATGACAAATGGCGTTGCATTTGAATTAAAGGGAATGCGGTTCTTCATTGAACACCATCAGAACATTATAATACAACTTGAACATGGCCTTGTTCAAAAGTGTTTGTGCTCATTTTTAGCGTTGAGTTGCATTTATATTGAAGCGATTGGGCAAAACTTCGCTCTCAAACTATGTTCAACGCGACCTTTTTTATATGCTCTACCATATCCTGAAAAGCTATAAACAACATAGAACTAGGATCCCACGAAAGGAATAAGAAGCCATACGTGTTTGTCAAATGGTGTGGGTTGCTAAAGTTCCACCGTTTCTATGAAGTTCGATAATCCTGAATTGTGTATAAATTCGAACAGGGGCGAGATGTGATCAGGGTGCGTGTCACCAAGAAGCTCTTTGAGAGGAAAGGCGAGGCCATGTGTCATTGTGTAGTTGATGTCAGGCTGACGAAATTGACGATAAACTGGGCAATCAAGAAAAACGTGTGAAATCGTGAGTGAGATTGCGCATCGATGGCAAACTGAAGGAGGCATGCCCAGAATTATGAAGCAACGTAGAAGTGTGGTATGTCCGATGTGAATATGTGGTAGCTTGTATTTCTTTCGAATGTGTGTCCTAATGAGATGATAGCCAGTATGACAGAGTGGGTTTGATGGTGTAGATATGTGGAAGGGGTCGCAAATCTAATTCGTGTTGCAGAGTACATAGGAACTATTTGTATAGGGCAAGAACGTCTTGAATATGAACGGGAAGTGTATTACATGGCGTTTACTAAGGTAAATCCTCCAGTCCGTGTCACGAATAATTGGAGCTACGGTAATAATGCAGCTTGTGACCGATGCTCCAGCTATTTCACAGCGAGCCTGGGGGGCGTTTTCCGTGGCCGTTGCACCATCTACATCAAGCGATTGGGACATCTGTGTCTTTCGGTTTTTCCGCAGCGCAGGCGCCGTGTAATACGATGGTGAGTATCGGGTTCTCACAGTATTCCTGTTTGTGAGCGATGGCTCAGGGTCACCGGTCGTCGCGGCATCATCAACCGACGGCTGTTTATTTTGATGAGGGAAAGGTCACCCCGCGAGATCACTACAGTTGACCTTTCCCCATCATTAATATGACCGCATCACTTGGATGGTGCGAACCCGTCCAAAGACATCGCAACGGATGGACGGAGGCACAAGGCAGGGTGTTGGGGCGTACCCAGGGCGGCCCTGAGCTCGCGCCACATGCAATCATGCCACCGCCACGGCTATCGGGAGCAAGACAAACAAATAAACAGAGCGGCAGATGTTGTGCGAACTGAGAAGGTGCGGCACTTGCATTCCCGCGCCGACCCGGTCGAGCGAGGAGTCATATTTTGCACACAGCCTTAACTACGCCGTGTAGTACCTACTCGTTTCACTATTGAGTTATGCGCTTTCCGTATATTCCCATTGAAATCACGCGATTTTTCAGTATGCTTCAGCATTGCTTGCTCATCGTTCAGTCCCTCAGCCTCGCGTCCCAAACGCTGCCAACTGCAAGAAGCACATTTATTGAGCAACATCACCGCGACGCCAACTTTGGCACCCGTGTAAGCTGTGGGACAAAACAGAATGGATCATTTCCAGTTACCTCCTGTCCAACCACCACTGATCGACTTTTTAGCTTCTCTCGACGATGGATGACAAACACTATCTCAAAAACAGGCACCTGAAAGGCGAGCGGGAATCGGCATCGACTCGCTCTCTCGAAACTGTGTCGCTGGGAGTAGCACACTTGGTCTCTTTTGTCTTCGGTTTTGCATCTTTTTATGAGCTGCTGAGCTTTGCCAGTAGCAAAAACTCGTGTTTCATGGCCACAGGCACCATCTCTGAGGGGTCATTCGACGGCCTCACTTTTGGGTGACGCATAGTGCGGTTCAGCAACAGGGTTCACTTTCATCTGACCGGTTCGATTGACAACCAAAATTACCGGCTCTGGTCTCCTGCCACGACCGATTAACTACGCTCGAAAGTGACTGCACTGTAAGACGTGGTCAAAGCAAACCCTGGCCTCAGCCCGGCCGACTTGCTATGGCATCACCTTAAGTCGGTAGCGCACGAGCACAGCCAAAACGGCATTCCGGGGCTCCAGCTGCGGCTCGAGGTGTCTCATCTAGGCAGCAGTCAAGCGTGTCAAACGCGTCGCTGGATTCAGCATAGTCGCCGCCCTGAGCTTGAGAAAAGGGGACTCCAACATGGGGAGTCCCTTATAAAACATACAGCAGCCTCCTAGGGGAATCTGAAATGCTGGGCAGCCAAACGCCTGCGGCGTGTCGCCTACATGCTGAATCTTTCCTGTACTACGTAAAAACATTTTTGTTCCTAATCTGTTGCCATTTGTTGGTCTTTCCTGCATGCTTCGGTCTATCAGACGTTTCAGAACGATTTGTTAGCTGTTAGTAAGGAGCAAAAAAGCTCCATTGTCAGAGAAAAGCACAAAACCTCTACCATATTACGGGAAATTCCTGGGAAATTTTGTAATGCATTTGATTTATGCTAAAACTATTATTTTAACATAGGTTTGGAAGCATGAACTCCAACAGACGCCGTACGTTTGTGTCGCAAAGTGGTCAACGCGCACCGCGGCTGAATACTGGCTACACAGACAAATCGTCACGCGTACATCACGTGAGCCAGGGGCAAGAAATCTGGGTCGCTGTGGAATTCGGAGCAGCCCGAATCTGTCTTGTACGAAGGATGCCGCCTCTGATGAGCTTGTGCAGGCCATAAACGGTGGTTCCTGGATCGTTCATGGAGAAGAAGGAGCCAGTCTTCCTGCGATAGGCGGCAACGTGCCTCTCTACCGTCTGGCGGGCGGTAAATCAACGGTTCAATTGTTACCCACGGCGGCCACACACAGAAGCCAGACGGGCAAAGAGCGCAAGTACAGGCTTTGGTCAACAGCTACGCCATCGGCTTCATGGGCTGGAAGCTCAAGTGATATGGAGTGATGAAAGATGGCTTGTGTGAAGCCAGGCACCGAACAAACAAAATGAACGATGATCGGCATTTCGCCATCCAAAGATGGCGGCCAAAGCCAGGCGCGGGATGGTTAGGAGATCATGGGCGAGGCTCGTTAAGTGCTTGATGGGAGATGTCAAGAGGGGGAATCCCCCATTACTTCCATCCGATTATCTCGTTGAACCAGTGGCGCTTTCCCGGCAACGGTGAAGTAGCGGGTGGCGCCCCAGTTGAGCATGTTCACGTAAACATGCTCCACGAGGATCTCTACTCGGCCATTTTCCGCACAGTTCGTATTCAAGTGATTCGCCTGCTGCGTACAGCGCGATATGAAGGTAGGACGCATGCTGGAATCGAAGCACCGTACCCTACTACGGAACTGGAGCACCGTAGCACCGTATCCACGATACAATATGCTGTAAGCACAGCTAAAACCAATGAATTGTGAAATGTTCAGATAATTACCATGGTATATGTGCTTTTCACTGAGATATTTATGTGACAAACAAATGCCAAAACGACGAAGAATAATAATTTGGAAAAATCGAAATAAGTCTAAAAATCAAAAGTAATTAGTAAGTTATATATATATATATATATATATATATATATATATAGATATATATACGAATGTATGCATATACATATGATGTTTCAACACAGTTTTGTATCATGTATTGCAGTATCACGTAAATATGAGCAATATGAGCAATATCTGCCGTCCAAAGATAAAAACCCACATGTTCATGTTTTTCTATTTTCCCTTTTAATGTCTTTGTTTTGTCTTCTCAACATGAATTCAGCTATTTAGACCATTGTTGAAATTTTCACAAACTTTTAAACTAAAAATGGTTAGAAGTGCTTGAAGATTTGAACTAATCGCTTAAATAACCGAATTCAGTTTGAGGCGACGAACCAAATGACAAAAAAAAAAGAAACGCAAAATGGTCAAGAACGAACATATGGGGTTTTACCTTTGGATGGCAGATATATCCCTCTGAGAAATATTAGTCCGTTCTCCGTTCACTACAAACAAATGAAAACACTAACAATAACCGTTATTTTAAAACATGCTCGAGGGTAAATTATTATATTTCATGCATTCCAAAATGGAAATCATTAGCAGCCATCGTCAAGTCTGTCCTTTAGAACTAGGCCACGACCCCTGCTCAGTTCCCATCAGCCAGGGCTAGTGATTTGCGATTAGGAATTCAAAGTAACACCACACCATTGGAGCCCTACCACTCAGTCAGAGGCTGAGGCTATGAGGCGCCATCTGCCTCCCTTTATGGCAAGAAGGGCGGACGCCGCACGGAATCAAAGCCCGTGCCTATTGTTTCCGAGACGCACCGTGAAACTACAGCGCTACGGGCACATCTCGAATAAATAACTCTTGGATCCAACAGCATACGACGAGTTTAAGCGGACAGCTTCGCACAGCCGAATGCATGGGCGGCTGCCACACAATTAGAGCATCGCTCACAGAGGTCGCGACGATTGTGGCTGAATCTTACTTGTCCGAGCCGCAGCCAAACCATATAATTTTGAAACAGCACGTGATGTTTCAT